TTATTAAGCCCAGTGCTGAGACCAGTGTCTGGCACACAGAAGGTACTTAATAAACATGTGTGAATGACTGGATGGATGAGTAAACGAATGACCACACCCTGCTTGCTGGGTGAGGAGGGTGAGGTTCAGTCATACCCCTCTGGGTACTGAGTCCCCCTCAGCCTCAGTCCATGTCTTGGAGCAAATGTGCAGCCTGCCTCATAAGAGGGGGCTGCTGAGGAGGAGGGGTCCATGCTGGGGGGGCGCTTCAGCCAGAGTCCATTGTTTGTGTTGAGAGCACACACATCCCAGGCACCAGTCCCCCGCCGCTTACCATCTTCTACCCGAAAAAACCAAAGCATTTCTTCCAGCAGCTCCTGAGACACCACAGTGCCAGCTGGGGCTTGGGTAACCTCCTCACTGTGGTCCATGCCCCTCTCCTGGCTGCGGTACGTTTCTGACAATGAAGTCCTTAGGCCTCTTCACTCCCGAGCTGCCCTTCTGGCCTCATAGGCTCTGGCTCCTGAGCAAAGCCCTGCAGACCCCTGGACACAAAGCAGAGAGTATGACGGAATATCCCACCCTAGTTTGACCTCCCCTCCCTGCCCAAACCCAGTTCTCTGGCCCCAAGTTACAGGACCAGAACAGCCCGACTCCAGAGCAGGTGGGTTCTGGAGAGGCAGAGACGATAGAAATGGGAATCACATAAATCTTTATTAAAACCCATCACGAGGGCCGGCGGAGCGGCGCATTGGTTAGGAGCTGGCTTGGGACGCCAGCTCTGAGCAGTAGGGCCCTGGTTCAGATCCCACATGAGGGCCAGTGATGCTGCGCCCTCTATAGCTGAGATGGTGAACAACAGCTCTACCTGGAGCTGGGCTGCCGGTGAGTCACTGGCACCGGCGTAGGCTGCAGTGGGGCTGGCCGGCAGAGGGTGTGCGCTCTGGTGAGCTGCCATGAGGCACTGTGAGCGGCCATCCAATGGCTGGCAAGCGGCTGCCTCACCCAGAAAGAGTGCAATGAAAATACCAACATGGGCAGTGAAGCGACATCCGCCCCAACTAGACTGAAGAACAAAAAGGACAGCAACTTGTCTGTTCCCCTTCCCCCAATTCCCCAGCACTGTTCCCAACCCCCCAGTTCCCCAATAAAAAAAAATCTTAAAAAAAAAAAGAATTCTTAAAAATTAACAAGAAAAAGACAGGAACCTTAATAAATGGGTAAACGATCTAAATAGGCAGATTACAAAATAGGAAACCCAAAAGCGTAGCAAGCCTATGAAAAAATGCTCAAACTCTTTGGTAATCAGAAGAATGAAAATTAAAACAAAAATGAACTATCACTTGACATCTTTTAGATCGTCAGAGTGTGAAAAATGGATAGTGCTGTGTGTTGGTGGGGCTCTGCGCCACAGCCTCATACACTGATGGGGAGTGTAGAGTGGGGCAGCGATCTAGAGACCAAATTAGTCACAGTAAGTGTACATACGCCATGACACAACAGCTCTGCTCCTGAATATATATATAATCTCCCAAAGAAATTATCCCCAAGGATCATAAGGGGGCATGCCATGCCATTTATGAAAATGCAAAATATACACACACTAAACATATATTTTACAAACGTACATTTTTTAAAAAGACACACATTAAACATATTAGGATACTTCTCTCTGGGGGAAGAGGAAAAAGGGGATAGGAAAGGAGGTAAATGTAACTAAAATAAAACAGGAGAAAGGTTTTTCTTGGGGGGGGATCAGTGTTGGGGAATTGGGGAAGGGAAACCGCCAAGTTGTTGTCTTTCAATCCTAGTTGTGGAGGGCGCAGCCAGCTCAGCCCCAAGTCCAGTCGCCATCCGACCACCCATCGGCAGCTCGCGGTCACTCAGCTCAAGGTGCCGTGTTCAGTTTTAGTTACATAGCCCACCGTCCCATGTGGGAGTCAAACCGTCAACCTTGTTGTTAGGAGCACGTGCTCTCACCAGCTGAGCCATCCAGCCACCTGTTGGCAGCTCAGCTCAGGTGCAGCTCACTGACCCATGTGGGAATTGAACCGGTGACCCTGTTGCTCAGAGCTTGTGCTCTTAACCAACTGAGGCACTCGATCTGCCCAGGAGAAAGGTTTTGAACAGACCAATCATACACACATGTCATGGGGCTAATAACAAAAGGCAAGGAGAAAACAAGAGGCACCAAAGCAATCACAAGTCCCGCATCTGACACCGCCTTCTGAAATAGCCTTTGGAGGCTCAGCCAGGAACATTCCAAACAACTGGATGGCAAACAGCCAAACTGAAAAACAGAGCACTAAAAAAAGAC